CACATGGACTAGATAGTTAGAGTTGTATAAATAGACATGTATGGCAACTCAGTAAAGAGAGCTCAGATTTGCCATCACACAGACAGGGCTTCGGCCAACGCTGTTGCCTTGTATTGTGCGTGCTTGCTCTGTTCTCCCTTCCTCTTCTAGCTCGATCCGTAGTGTGTGGGTACGGACAACGCCGGTACGTGATCTGCACGGCTAGTGGGTGCTCGGCAACACTAGCGCGTGCTCGGCGAGACCGACAAGTGCTCCACTCGCCTGAGCCGGTGGTCGGCAAGATCGGCTGGAGTGGTTCACTGTCGTGAGCCGGTGATCCTGTGAGACCAACGGAGTGGTCTGGAGATCATCTCGGTGGTCGAGAGGCTAACTGTGGGCCAACACCCTTCTCGTTCTGTACTGTAAGAAAATCTCATGGATCCGATCCTAGCTAAAAACAACCCGCTGTTACTAATGTAGTATGTATGATGAGTTGATGACGGGGGTTTTGTTAGTTTGTTCTCTACAACATTAGTAACATCAGTGAAATCGATCTCACTGCATGCATTGGTGTCTGCTTTCAGATTCTGAATTATATCTCGTGTATGATTTCACTGCATTTATTCCATATTTCCATCACATCTCGTTTACTCAGGAAGGGAGAAAAACTGTTCCATGATGGATTACCAAGGTAATACTGACCAACATCGACAAAATGCGCACATCAATCCGAACGCACTGAGAGATAAAATTGGGGAAAAAAAAGAACAGGTCGTAGATAACAACATGCAGCAGTACTCCAGTGCGATCACTCACCGCCATGAACGCACCCAAGACGACGGAGCCGGGCTAAGCCACGGTGATGGATCGGATCGATTCGATCTGCGGTGACGCGGCAGGGCAGACGAGTGCCGCGCGCGCTCCTGTCCTGTTGCTCACCGGCGTGTTCGAGTGGGAGGGAGAGGGAAATAGCGAATGGGAGAGTGAGTGGAGCAGCGGCAACTGCGGTCCAGTCCAGAACCGCTTCTAACGGGCAAAGCACTGAGCACTTTTACACAGCCCTTCATGTCCGAGTCCGACCACATATGGAATGGAACTTCGTCTATGGCCGGCTCGGCCCAACTGTTTCGGGGGCTCGGGCCTATTAACCCTTTAGCAGAAACGGAGGCCTGCCATGGCCCATACAGAAATATAAGCAAACAAAAACCTTTACGTCAGTACACCGGTTATTGTAGTTTCTCTCACGTGGTCTTCAATTTTTCTTTATTTAGTTGTTTTATCAAATATTTAGAAATAGCAGACCACTGATCATAAAACACAATTGAAATATATGAGGCTGAAAGATATATGTCACCTCCGGGCCGGGGTAAGATCATTAGTATGTGCTTGTTATTATTAGAGTACGTTCATTTTCCCATTATGCACGGTCACTACTACTGGTTTGGTTTTTGCAGGCAATCGTTTTGGGTTATCGGAGGCGGACCTTCCATTAACCGCCTGCCGTTAATACCACATTACGGCAGGTGGTTCTCTCAAGGCGGCTGCTTGCGTTAATATTCTTAACGAAGGCCGCCAGCCACCACCGAGTATCCGCCTCCGTTAATTGATTAGCAGAGGCAGCTGTATACAAGGCGTCCGTCTACGTTAACTCTTGTCCGGATTAAAAAATATTCATTTGCTGGCATTTTATTTGAATTCTGTTTTCATAATTTAAACACAGACACAAATATATATACTGAGAACCAAGACAATACGCATGCATAAAGCGCGCGCACACACACATACACATATCATATTGGTGTCTCGTTATCGTCATAGCACGGACAACAAGTTACATATCATATACTCCATCCATTCCAAATTGTAAGACGTTTGACTTTTTTTGGCCCCAAGTTTGACCACTCGTCTTATTCAAAAAATTTGTGCAAATATAGTTAAATTTAAGTCATTTTTGAAGAATTTTTATTAATAAACCAAACTACGACGAAAGAAGTGATATTTTACACAAATTTTTAAATAAGACGAGTGGTCAACTTGATGTCAAAAAAGTCAAACGTCTTATAATTTGGGATGGATCGAATACATATTAAACTAAGAGTTCAAATGTTTCAGAGTCCACTTTTTTCTAATCAAGATCAGCAATCTTGTAATCCTCTAAGTGTATCTGATCCCAGTTTCTTGTCGTACTTCTCATCCCACGCGGTGTCGCTCTTGTGGTTGAAGCATGCTCTATTTTGATGCACACATTTATGTATGATGAAGCCGCATATGTCCGCTACGGTTCTTGTTACGCACTTCTCGTCGATTCGTCTCCTTTCCCACCATCTTTGTGAATTCATTAGCACCCCGTAGCTGATGCTGAACTTCTCGGACTCCATGAGGTACTCGCAACTGTAGAATCAACATAGTAGTGTCCCTGGAGGTTGTTTGACGCACTACATGGTATAATACGACACAATCGATTAAAACATGGCAATGTATCAAGTGCAAACCAACCTCTCCGTGCAAACCGTGCAAACCAACTACGGGGGAGAGGTGGGAGGGGGGATTTGCAAAAGTGTAATTAGGAGCGGGCGTAATTACACTTTTGCAAATCCCCCCTCCCACCTCTCCCCCGCAGTTGGTTTGCACGGTTTGCACGAAGAGGTTGGTTTGCACTAGATATGTTCCCTTAAAACATATAGAGAGTACGCATTGTTATTTAATTTGTACCGCATACGACTTGATACGTACCGAGATGTTACGCCTAATGGCTATTATATTGTGACCATTCTTTGCCTTGTTCTTCTCACTTCTTATGTCGACAGATTAGGGATCCTCAATTTACATCCTGTATGCGTTGTATGAAAACAATGGGAGTCAACAACAAATTCAATATGATTATTTGTGTAAAAGAATAAGTATTGTAATTTACAAGTTCAATACGCTCTCAAATTCCTTGTATGACTCATTTGGGTAATCCAAAGAGTCCAATACAACCGCAGATGCAGCTGAGGATAGATTATGAATGTAATCCAGTAGCCGCTGTTGCCCGGACTGCAAAATTCAAATAATACAAGTTTCAACTAGCTACATATACGATTCAACTAGCCTGACTTACCCGAATCAGTAGGGGGCAAGTAGACACCCATGTTCCTCGATGGAGTTCATGCAATTATAGATGTATGTTGCCACCTGATACTTAAGGGTGTTGCACAGAGTTTTCCGGAATTATCGTCTCTCTTCCGTGTTCATGCCCTTAAGGTCTGTAGCATCTTCTAGTAACTCGTAACCCGTGATGCATCTCTAGTTAATCTTCGTCGGAGAGAGGTAAATAATAAGGGTTTTCTTCATTTCTTTGCAGATGTGATACTGCATCCTGCAAGGACAAATCATGCCAGTTATCTTCTTCCTAAAGTACCTATAAAGATGCAATGGAGTGAAGTATATAGCTTGTAATTAACTTATAGGGCTAACAAGGTGACTTAGTGATGTCGAGATTCTTGCGCCGTAGCAGTCTATGCATGTCATGGAAATCTATGAGATTTTGACATCCTTGGCCAACTTGAATGCTTCCTTTGGGACATGTCCAACGAAGGAGTCTGGGCCTGGTTTCACCGCTACCATGTACCGACGATGGAACCTCCTTGTTTCCCATGGCTCCTCTAAGAGCTGTCCCAAGGGAAGCACAGACTTGCCAAGCTCGTAGTTTTCTGAATCATCTAAAAGGTTCCATCCAACCGGTGACGTATCCTATTTCGCGGCTTGGGAGTGAAAAACTCTACTAATATCTCCACACATGTTGGACTGTGACTACGGTTGCAAGAAATGTACCTTTCAAACCTAGTTGAGCTTTTGTACATTTTGGCATGTTTGTTGACCGCCCACTACACCTTGGTGTGGTTGATAGTAGTTGGTTTAGGATCCTTCGCTTGCACAGTACTTGTCGTCGGGGGAATGAATGTTGTGGTCTACTCTTGTGGACCCTTTGTTGGCGGGGGAGGGCATGGTGCGGTTTGCTCCTATGGATCATTTGCCGGTGGGGGAGTGCACTTGGTGGTGCCGTAGTTTCCTCTTGTGGATTGCTCGTGAGTACCATCTGGGGGTCGCTGCTGGTGAGTACATTGACAATTTGGCCCATATAATCTCCTTCATTGTGTCCTCGCATGCTTTCTGTACGAGCCTTTCGTTGTATCACTGCCTTGTCCTGTATGAGCTCGTGTCGGATGACTAGGCATCCACGTCCCTCCAGCTCATTCTCGAGGACATGCCTCGAACATGGCCGCATGCTTGGGGTTTCCTAGTGCCTCGAAGAGCTGGTCCCTCTCTCTGCGAGGGTTGGACAATCCTCTTTACTTGGCAGCAGTGATCTCTAGCATCCTCACCTCCGCCTCCTCGGTCTGTTGCTCATTGAATTTCGTCTTCCCTTCCTACAACCGTTTTGGCTTGGGGGCTTTGAGGTAGTCCCTTGTCCTCTCATTGTGGCCCTCATACTCTATTGGTAGTCCAGCCTCAGTTGCCTCCCTTTCTTCCTCCCTCCATATCTTCTTAGCGGCGTACCCTGTAGTGTCTAGGTGGTGGTAGTACACATTCTTCTTCGTGAGTGCGGAGAACTTCTCGCCCTTGGCCTTTCCTTCTTTGCTTGTTCATTCTTGGATGAATGTTTCCCAAATCTGAGGTGTGATGAACTTGTATTCGTCGAAGGATTGCTTCCCTTTCTTGATGTAATTGCTTTTGAGCATCCACTTGAAATGGCGATGGAATTTCTCACAGGTACACAACACGTACGACTTGATCAGATCTTCATTGGTGCCCTTTGGCTATGTGAAACTCCTCCTGTCCTCTTCCCACACATAGGTCTTCAAGTGATCTGGGATGTGCTTCCAATGGCTGTATGTGACAGGCACCTTCTCCTCTACTACCACACCGCATGTGTTGCTGAATATGCTGATGACGTTAGTTGGCTCCATGGGCTCTCCCTTCCTCCTGACCTGGTGTATCGTTTGCAGCTCTATGTGCAGCAGATGCCTAACCATGCTAACCTCGTCTTTCTTAACCCGACCAGACGTCTTTGTGGTTGAAGAAGTCACCATGGAGGCAACAGGTTCTTCACTTTCATCGTCATTGAAGTCCAAACAAAGAGGCACCGGCATTACCTATCGAGGACAAGAACTCACATTATATATTAGCTGGATGCCACTACACCATGACACACATTTGCCTACAGTTATCTATTGGCAGAAGGTGGGTTTCTGCTACACATTTTGTGTTGGAAATTTTATGAGTTTTTAACGTCAATTCATCTGTCGGTAAAAAGGCTATAGGACCACAAGTTATATGTCGGCGTTTCCCTACTGACACAAAAACTGTTGGTGAAATTTTTCTAGGCTTAATAAATGTTGGCGTAGCCTAAATGGTACCACTGTCGGCATAGGTATACCTTTTCGCTACACCATAAGCGTCGGCGATTCTTTTAAATGTCAGCAAAACTTTCGCCAACTGCTTCTACAACGACTGTTTCTAAACTGTCGGCAAAGCTTATGTTGGGGGCTATCTGCCGGGAAAGTACCCTTTGCCCACTTCGAAAAGTGTCAGCAAAGGTGGGTCGTGTTATAGTGCACTCGAACATTGTCTTAACGTGCACTACTGTACCTTCAGCCGATTTTGTTTGACATATTCATTTGGATCCTCTTGTGGCTCTACGTGAGGTCCTTGCACTTCGGCATCTGCCCTCAGATCATAGTCCAGATCGTCCTCTTCCCCTCCACGAGGTCTCTTCTGTGGCGTCGGTGTAAGCTCCTCGCACTCGTATTCAATGCTTTCTGAGCCGTGGTCACTTGGACCAGGGCTAGGCGTGCGCCATTCTTTGATAGGTAAGTTTCTCTCCGGATGTTCTTCCCCACCTTGACTGGTTGACAAACTCGCCATTGCAAGCTAGGATTACAGCAGCAGAGAGGTATACAATTTAGTTATATGGAAAGAAGTACATAATTATCACCAGTATCTCCAATTAGCGAACATGAGAGGAGAATGGAGACAGCCGAGGACTTAGAAGAGAGGAGAGAAAAGCAGCAGAAGATAGAGCAGCAGCCAAGCAACCAAAATTTGAGCCAGTAGCAGATAGAGCACCAGACAAGCAGCCAAGCAGAACATAGAGCAGCAGCCAAGCAGTAGAGTATAAGTTAGTTCCAAATCTGAACTTTATTAGTTGGTTCATCAATCATAAGGAAAAAATATTTTGCCTGAACTAGTATAGCTGGATAGCACACTGAGTGAAACATGTACATCTTCTCCATGAGTGAAACAGGTTCCACATGTAAGCAAAAAGAATGATAGCAGAGCAGCAGCAGGCCATGGAAGAAGATTCACAGTCTAAGCCTGCTGAAAGATGATTCAGCAAGCAATTAATTGCAACATATATGCCAGTGAACCAAATAATGAAAGGCAAGCATTAACAGAAACATATATGGTAAATAAGGCAACAGCTGGCTGGGCTTGGCTGCAGCTGGGATGAGGACCCAAGAAGAGAGAAGAGAATCAGAGACACAAGATACCAGACACCAGAAAACTGGAATCAGAAGGCTAATAAAATGGGGGTAGTCAGCTAATAAAATCTAGGATCCAACTGGACAGATTAGATTGGATCCAACTACTGTTCGAGAAGCCATAATTTTTCATCTAGGTAGACCTTTGCAATTTTTCATCTAGATTGGATCCAACTGAAGTTCAGCAAACAATCTGTTTGCAAATTAATGAAAAAATAGGAAGTGGCGGAGACCAAAGCCCAACTCCAACTAAGCACATTAACTCATTGAGCCTCAAACCTCAATGAGTCCACAAAAGAACTAAATCCAGATAAGATAAGAGAAATAAAAAAATTTCTTGTTCCCAATTTAGCACCTAAACTTTAAATCTTCCTTACCTGGCCTTCCTTGAAAGTCTTGTTCCCAAAATGACACTACCATCCATTTAGACTACCCCTACCGTGAACTGTCATGTGGGGCCACATGCAAAAGACAAGAATGCTCTTGTCTTCTCAATTCAATTATAGGGAAAAGAAACAAGTCCATTCGTTCAAGCGAGCGTACGAGTGGCTGGGACCTGCGGGTGGCGACGCAAACACCACGCGCGACCCCCGTGCGGCCCCTCCTGGCACCGGCGTGTCCGTCGCGGCAGCTCTCAGGCCCCTCCCAGTGCGCCCTGATGCTCATACAACCACGGACTGATGAAACCTGTCTTGGTCACTCGGTGGCGCCGGCGGCGCTCTCAGGCGGCACGGTGGAGGCACTCAACGGCTCAAGGTGGTTCCAGCCTGTGCTCGCTCCCCATCCTGGCATCCCCGGATCCCGCTCTTGCCTCCCTAATCCCTACGCCGGCGGTGGCCCTGCACTCGGGCGGTCGGGCTCCTTGGAAGACGACTGCAGCCTGCAGCAGCCGGCCAGCCACGTCGGCGGCTAGACGCCCAGCCGGCCAGAGCGGCTGCGCGCCTGCGGCCTCCGCTGCCCCAGTGCCCCTTGCGGCTAGGCCTGGGCAGATTACCTTTCACTTACTCAATTTATTTTAATTGGAGGTTGTTTATGTTTTTTTGTCCGGTGAAGCTAGTGCAGGCAATGATCTGTGGTCTAAAGAATGGAAGAATTGGGATGTACTCTATGCAAAAAATGGTGCAAAAATGGTCCTAAAAATGGTGCAAAAATGATCCAAAAAAATGGTGCAAAAATATTCCTAAAGAAAAAAAATGCACAAACAATTCCGTACTCCAGGAACACAGCAGCGATGTTAAAAAGAAAAAAAGGCGCCTAAACAGTTTTGTACCAGAGAGAATGGCGTCCCAAACCGCAAATTAAAGGAGGGGCAAAATCGTCCTTTTGCGTTTGAGCTAACACCGTTACATGTCCAGATACGGAAGATTTTAAGTTTGGATGCTAAATTGGGAACATAAGTTTTTTTATTGTGAAATAAGACATTTTCTTGATAAGATAAACATAAGCTTTTTTAAGATAAGGAAGATTTCAACAATTTGGATGCTAAATTGGGAACATTAGTTTTTTTAGTGTCAAATAAGGAATTTTCTCGATAAGATAAACATACAAAGGTGTTGCAACTTTAGTGCACCAAAGGAGATGTGAATTCCGGAATAAATATATGCAGATACACTGAACATGCCAAGATGGCATCTTTTTTATTTTATGAACTGAGAAATACTGGAATCCAGTTGTATGACTCTTAGAAAGACAGTCAATTTGATGCTTCTTTTTTGAAGAGGTTCAAGACAGAACAATTCCATTATCTAAAAAAACACGGTTTATCTTTGCAGATTCACAAAAAACCCCTATGTATCGACGAGTCATATGGGCAGTGGCCTTCATTCTCTTGTGGGTATACTTGTACCCTCCTTAGGTTTATTTGACTTAAACATTTTGAAAAGTCGCACTCTTGATTATGAGAACATTCATGACATCTGGCTCCATACTATTTGTGTGGTGAAGGGTTTGTGGAAAATCAAGCTCCACCCTTATGCTTATGTTCATGCTAATGATTAAACTTATGTTATGCTAGCTAGTAGCTTAGTAGGAAAGCTTTTCTTTTATGTGTAAATGCCTTTAGGAAAATGAAACTTTATACCTTGTTCATGGCAAATACATACTCCTTTGTACATTAGAGCATCTCCAAGAGTACCCAATATTTTCTTCCCAAAAATATGGAGTTTTACGACTCCTAAAAAACTATTGGAAGGAATAAAGAAGGCCATCTTCAAGAGTTTCTAATAATCCACTCCTAAAATATAAAAGACAATTTTACATAAGGAATCCTATACTATTTCTAAATTATCCTAACCACTTTTATATATTCTTTCCCTCTTGTATATTTGTATCAGGAACCCTTTCCTACTCTTTATTCTTTCCATGCCCTTCCACCTTTAGATTGGCCGACAAACATGCACAGGGAGAGAAAAATATGCCGCGCGACTCGGAAGCGCGTAACTTTACGCGGAACATGGTGACTTTTCCCAAGTTCTAAAAGATTAGGAGGATGGATTAGGAGTTGTTCGAGAGGGGTTTTTTCTCATCTTGCTAAAAACCAAGGATTAGGAAGGGATTTAGGGAACTCTTGGAGATGCTCTTATTTAGGTAACTCCCGCGGAATACAATCCTATACTCACAGTGCTACCGTTAAGTTGTTTTGCAGGAAACTAGTGAACTATGGTGGCCACATCAACCCACAAGAGCCAGCAAATTGGGTGAATGGTAAGATCCCATCCAAGATAATGGTGGTTATAGGCAAAGGCGTCCACTTTTAGTAACTAGTTAACATTTAGTCGCAACACAGGACTTCTCAACCTTGATGAAACAGGTAGGATAGCCATCCATGTTCACATATCACAAATATGTTAGTTATGTGTTGAAAGTACGCCCCCGGATATCCTAGCCGAAATGGAAATTGACCCATGAACTGAGGGTGGGCCGGTTCGACTACTCGGGAGGCCTAACCAGATAAGGATACTCCATCTACTTGGCAGACAAGACATAGATCGACCTAGGGGAAAACTTTGTATCTGAGTCCCTTGATTTACGTAGATCAGACTAGATCTCCATGTAACAAATTTGGAAATGTAATTTAGACATTTGGGGATTCCTCGGTAAACCCTATCTATGGAGTATATAAACATAGGGTGTATCCGGTCAGCAGATTCATTCTCCACCTTCATCAGCACCCCGCTCCTAGCGCATGGCACACAACAATGATGCTCCTGTTCAACTGGACGTAGGGCACCCCATGACTGAAATAGTATAAACCCGTGCCCCGTGTACTACCCCTCTGGTTTGCTTAGCGCAATAAGATGATCACTAGTCGGATACAAAATTCACCAACAGTTGGCGCACCAGGTAGAAACCATTGCATGCAGTTTCGTCTATATGGATTAGATGTGTTCCTTCATCATCGGCGTCGACGATTTGGCTCTGCGTGATGGCACCACCTTTGGCAGCCTCAACTTTATTATTGACTGAGCACCACACATTGGCAAGCGGTGGTTCACCGCAACACTCGTCTTCCCTCGGCGGCACGCGACAACCCGCCATGACATTCATTTTCCAACGGCAGGACGTGGCAGCCAGCTATGACCCTCATCTTCCCGTAATGGCACATGACAACCCACCGCGACATTCGTCACCCTACCATGGCGTGTGACAGCCTGCTCTAGCAATCATCTTCTCGACTGCCTGTGACACTCATCATACCACCATGGCCCTAATACATGACCAAATCAAAATAAGAAAAGGTGTGGATGAAACACGGGATTCAAATGATTTTGTTATGGCCTTGTCAATTTACAAATACAAATTGACAATATTTCTATTTTTTCACTAACACACACACACACACTCTCTCTCTCTCTCTATAACTTTAGAGCTTACATTTAAATAACAAAAATAAAATGTATAACGAAGATCTTCATAAAAAAATGTATAAAGAAATTAGGATTCTAGTTACTACGTAACGGTCTTCTCGCTTTACAAACAAATATGGAAATATTTTAGTTTTCTTTTTGTACATGAACACTATCTTTCTCCCCATGTAGATCTAGATCCAATTCTAGCAACCTACTAAAAAAATCCCCATTTATGGTGAATGTGGTAGAGAATATAAATCATGAAATTGAAACAGCACGAAAATTTACATAGGTGGGCCATTTAAGGTGGCACACATCAGCTGCATTAATAGCCCTCCTCTATCATGGATTAACAGAGGGTAGCCTTCGCCTTGGCCCCCCTTGTCCATTTGTGCAAGCAGTGCCTAAGACCATCCGCCTTTGTAGTTCCTTTAAGGCCCTGTTTGGTTGAGCTGTGGCTGTGGGAAAAAGCTGCTGTGGGCTGTGAGCTGTGGAAAAGCTGCTGTGGGCTGTGAGTTGTAGAAAAGCTGAAAGG